TTTTATACCTATCTGTTTTTCTGATAGACTGTATTGGTTGAAAACATTCATACTTTAATCTTTAAAACTATTTTAAATTTCAAACTACTTCAAGCTGAAAACTTTCAGACTGCAAGCTTTTAAAACTTTTTCAAACTTTCTAGCTAGGCTTTTTCAAGCCAACTTAAAGTTTGTCTACAAACTTTTCAATCTAGTTTTTCAATTATATGCTTTATAAGACATCTGATGGCTTAATGTTGATGGTTATTATGTAATCTGACTTGTGCACTTTCAGAAAGAAAGGTACAAAAGAGTTTATGCTTCAAAGAACAAATTTGTCCTTTTCCATTAAATGTGCATTAGAAATCTGCACACCGGAAAACCTTTCAAATCATTTTGTAGCTGCCTTTTATGATTGTGGTTGACATTTCTTTTTTTCATGTTTACATAAAGGCACTGAGCCCAAGACATCAAGACCAGACATAATAACAGCAAAAATGTAATTTGCAGTCATTCATTCTTTCATTTTTTATAATTTGAAAGTTTAACAAAATGCAAATTTGATTGTTTATGTCTCTCTCTTTTTTAATCTACGTTTTGTTGTGTTTTGTTTGGTCAGGTTAATTATTTGAAATCACTTTTTTTGGCAGTTGTTTTTTTAATTGTTCTTTTTATTGCAACCTTTCGTATTGTAAAAGCGGACATTGCCACATTAATGTGCATTATTGGTATTATTAAATAACATTAGAAAATCCATAATTGAAGATATTTTACTGTGACTTCTATTGGAAGCACCTTGCAACTATATGCAGCACTCTTCTCTGAAGAGTATTTCACTCAAATAAACCACTGAAAACATTTCATAGCTTTCACATTTGATAGAATTCACAGCACCTAATTCCACTGTGTGATTGCTTATTAATAATGTTCAGTCTACATTAATGTACTGTGTGGGGAAAACAAACATAAAATGCCATATTAAGGCATTCCAAGACTGCAAAGGATTAGTCGACACCCAGATTTATGTAAACTAAAAAAAAAGAAAAAAAAAATCCAAAGCACGGCCCAAAGATTCAAAGAATGTTATTTACATGTGATTTTTAATGGGACATTTAAAGTTATGATTTAAATATAAACATATCCATATGCTGACTGAAACTATAACATAATAAAGGTTAAATATATTATTCTGTTTATTGCTGGGAAGCATTTTTGGATTCTATAAATGCCCAGAATTAGGCCAGTCTTTACCACCTTCACATTCTGTGGGGAAAAAAAAGTAGAAAAACAGAAAAGGTAGACCTACTGATGATTTTCTGCCAGGGCATTGTTTGTTAAATTGGACATTTCCTTTTAGCTTAAAACACACAAGAATGCAATGCACAATTCTAAATACTGGTAAAACAATATATATAATAATAAATTAACAGCACATTATTTTTACATTTTACAGACTTTTCTTAGAGTGTAGCATACTAACTAACTACTAATACACTGCTTAAAGCTTGAGAATGTTTAAAAATACAGTTATTTATATTTTAATATTATATCATGCATATTATTTTAAAAACAAATCTAAATTAACATATATAAAATATATTTTTTGCTGAGGTTTGATGATGTCAATTTTGCGTCGTGATTACGCAATGACGGCATTGAGCAATGACATCACAACGCCATTTAGCAACAAGTCGACCTTCCTTTACCAACTTTCTCTGAAAATTAGTTGGCAACACTGATCATTAATGCCCATTGCACACGCAGTGAATGATGGAAGGGTTATAAAAGGGATTTGTCTTCATTAGAATTGATTAACCCTGCAATGTTTTTTCTGAAACTGAAAACATTTGATTAGTTTTACTGTGATTATGTAAAGCAGATATAGATCTTTACCTTCCAATATGGCAGGAATGCATTTCTCCTGAACTGGGGTCGGTCGGCTGATTCCCATCCGCTTACACTGCTGCA